CTCTTACCTTGCAAGTGCTGCTGCTAAGGTAACTGCCTGGCAGTGCTTTGCAGAAGTGATGAGGCTGATATTCTGCAAATACACAAATGAGAGAATTTGCAGTTCTGACTCCCCTTCATCTGGGTCTTTAATGCCTATGAATTTATCTGTGATACCATTATATTAAGTACTGGTCTGAACTTGTTAAATCAGCTCCAAGAAACACACCTGTGATTTTCCATACATCAGTGTGTACTCTTCATAAAATATCATTGTGTTAGCTCCTTTTCTTTGTATAAGTGAAGCAATGCTGCCTTAAAGTAACTGTCCCACATTGCAAAGCTGCAAGTACTTAGCTCTTACTTAACTCTTAGGAATGCGCCTTTCTCATTTACATGAGGAAGAGAAAGGGATTTGTTTTTTTTTTTCAAATATACCAATGCATGCTCTGCCTAAAAAGCATTCTGGTTTCCTAGCATTGCTCTAGTTTATATTATACCAAGATTGAAATGAAATGAAATGAAATGAAATGAAATGAAATGAAATGAAATGAAATGAAATGAAATGAGGAGCACTACAAGAGCAGAGAATGAAACAGCTCAAAATCAGGAAAAAAAAATCATTTACAGATAATTTACTTGCTTTTAATCTTAGTCAGTTTGTTTTTGAGGTACAGAATTAACTTTCAGGACCTAAATATAATATCATCTGGTGTGTGAACATAAACAAAATTCAACAGGTGTATATAAAGGACAGCTGAGGTATATCCGAATATGTGCTCAAGGTGCAAGAGCGAATAGGTGTTCAGTAGGATAAATGTGGACTAAAGCAGCGATCCTGAATGCATTCACCTCACAGTGCCTGAGGATGGGCCAAGCACAGCAGGTAGAAGAGGCAGGTTCCTTGGGGAAGGCCCAAAGGAGACTGCACCGGTAAAATTCCCGCTGGACCCTATTTGTTTTTGTTGCCAGTAGTTATCACCCATCTGCAAAAGGCAAGAATAGAGCAGCTCTTTCTCTGTTCTAAAAGCCTGAAGTGCTTGACTTGCACTGGAAACAAAGCAAGACKAAAGGGCTGTTGTCCAGAGTGGCTGATAAATGGCCGGGATCACTGTTATTTCTATTCTCATCCTTTGTGCAGCCACACAGCAGGGAAGGGGAAATGAAATTACAGGTAAGTGATGGAAAATCTGTCTGAGAACTATGTTTTTTATGTAGCATCACTTAGTTTAGATGTGAAATATCTTGTTATTGGAAATAACCATGGTGACATCTCTCTGGAAAGCTGGAAATCTCTCAAAAACCATTTAAGAAAGGCTTATTGATAATTACACAGACAAACAAACGAACAAACAAAAATCTAGTCAACCCAAAACACATTTGTCCCCATTTCTTAGTCCTAAGGCATTTCGTTTTTGTTAGAAGTAAATGAGTAGAATTCCTGCTTTATGTTTAGTAATGTCCATTTTTTTACGGAAAAGCTTTTAAATGTTTGTAAAATTTGTGGAAATTATGTTTTAATGTTCCTAAGTAATTTCAGAAGATGCATAAAATGAGGTTGTGGATGATATGTTGTTCAACTTTTGTCTATGGTAAGTGTTGTAATTGGAAAAAATCTAATTAAATGACTTAGACCTGCTAAATCAAATGATTTTTTTTCTTAGTTTCTAGTTTAATTTATTTAGATAGGGAAAAACATGATTTCTGGTAGAGTTTTTTTTTATTATTTGCTTGTCTCTTTAAGTGCTTTTGTACTAAATTAAAATACAAGACTACAAAAATAGTTTGGCTCTCATTATACCCAGATGAGAARGGATTTTGCAGTTTCAAACTAATGGTGGCATTTCTGGCACTTGAGTACCTCTTGTGAGGTTTCCAGAATTGCAACTAAGTCTGTGGCATAAATACTTCCAATCTTTTATTATTGCTGACTCTTTTGKCTATGCTCTCAGATACCAAAATATGTATTTGACCTTGAATTTTAAGAGTGCTATAGGAGGCCTTCCTTTCAGCGTCTCCTATTACTCTGTTTTTATTATTTTTTTTGTTGCTTAGCATAATAAAATTTGTCTTTTTCCTTACAGTACTGAAAGATGGTGGTTTCTGAGATTAAAAACTTGATTAAAAAATGACAAATTGAAGGCCTAACATAGCATCACTAATGCTAGGTGGTAAATTCTACTCTGCTATTGACTTCAACTGTGCGTTGATAGAAAAACAACCGGTTTAATTCTGTTTGATAGTTCCCATGGGAGTAGTAATAAGAACTGAAAGGCACTTTACTGAAGAGCCTAAACTGATCTAAGCAATGTTGCTCAGGAGGAAGCTGCTCTCAGTAAATAACTTAACTCTGTGAATGTCTAAAGCTCCCTTTAGACCAGATGAGAGTGACGAATGGCCATAAGGTTGGTGGTGGTGCTGCACCTTATGCCGTCAGCCTTAGTCCTGTCTCTTCTAGAGAGAGGATCTTTTTACCACTGTAGCAATATATCAAATCTGCTCTTTTGCTTTTGGCAGCTTCATTCCATACCTAGTATCGTTGTTTAGATATGAAATATGATTTTATATCTGCTCTGACAGCTGTAGTTTCTAATTATAAACTGGGTCTAATTCTATACCATTTTGCTGTCTATTTCATACCTGTATTTGCCTTGCACTTTGCTGTAAAGCCTCAGCTCAGTTGAACATGGAATTTTTTACGTTTTCAGCGTGATGTCAGTGTTGTAGCTTCAACTCCGTGTTGAGACATGTGTCTTTGATGTTCTCCTTGAATTCCTGCATTGCTTTAGCTGTGCTATGATATGAGCTCTGGTGAAATGGAGTAATAACAGTGACAAGGAATCAGGCTGCACTCTCTTGTAGCCCTACCCCATCCTAACATCATTTTGTATTTTAATGCTCTAACTCCTTAATRCTCTACTTTTCATTTCTTCTTTCCATAGAACAAAGACTGTCTTCTCCTACCTTCCTTGATCACCAGCAGGTGTTTGTGTATTTTCTTCTGATAAAGACTAGATTCCACATAATTCAGATATTGTTTCCACCCTAGTCTGGGTATTTAGCCATTCAGGTGCAAAGCTGTGGCCCAGCTTCTCAACCCTTTCCCTTCCAGACACAGCTTTAACCCTAGGAGCACTTATCTTCCATCATTATCTTACTTCTTGGAAGCAATCAAGAACAGGAAGGACCCTGATATGCTTTTGTGCACAATTCCAGGGCTAGCCTAGYTGGGATACGATGAAGCGCTATTGTATCTGTCTCACATATATATGCCTGATCAGGAACCCAAAAACAAATCTTTGCTTGTTTGTTTTTTCACATCTAGAAGCATTTGCTGTGCAGATATTCTCAGAGCAGTCCTAACAAGTACCAAGGGAATGGTACAAGATGAATTGACAAGGGAATTTACAAGATGAAATGAAGCCTACCTGTTCCTTCTAAGTCACTTGCATTTTACATGAAATGATAATCAAGTGAATTGGATAAAGCTTTAACCTTCAGGTTTCTCTCTTGCATCRGAGGTACAGTACAGGTTTGAGCCCCTTGGCTGAAAAAAAACCATGTCCCTGCTTCCTGCTGCTAGGAGACAGCCATCTGTTTCCCTTGAATCTATTCCTAAGGGAAAAGCACAGCCCTGGTGGTTTTTTTTTATGTCAGAAAAGCCATTTAAGCTGCTGTCTCTGGACCCAGGCTCAGGGATCAGACACAGAGGTGCCCTCCCTGAGGCTGGGGAAGAGGCAAAAGCAGGTAGCAGGATTTCAAGATATGCCSTTTTCAGGATATACTCTCAGCAGCAGCATGTGGTTCTCTGGGCCTTACCGGGAGGTCTCTAGCCCTCCCTGTGGTGTTCCTGGAAAGGTGCAGCAAGTCTTGGCTACTCCCTAAGGGCTGAGGAACTGGAAGCTGGGAAGTGGGAGCTGAGGGAAAAGGGTGGCAAGGAGGTCTGGGRCCCCACTAGCTGGGGCTGGCCTGTGGCACCCAGTGAGAGAGTATAGGACTCAGCCAGGGGGTGAGATTGTTAGGCCAGGTTGTGGAGACCGGGCAGGACTAAGGCTAAGCTGGGATATCAGTCTGCCCCAGTGGTCACCAGGCACCTCGATAGGGCTGGACCAAGGCTGGGCCAGGTGGTCGCCCACAGCTGGGGCTGGGTGGCCAAGCAGGAGCAGGGCTGTGGTGGGGCTGGAACAACTGACAGCCCCAGGTGGGCTTAGATGGGGCCAGGACTGGGTGGGAGGAGGCCTGGGATGGGGGAACATGGAAAGCGAGGGTCCATCTATTTCCCATCACAGCTTTTTGAACTGCTAAGCAGGGTTGTCTTTCAGGCTGCTCTTATTCAAACAGCTGCTAAGATTAAGGTTGGAGGAACATCTTTTAGGTCACACACTTGATCCATCCAGCTCCCTGACCCTATTGCAGCCTATGATATTTGTCCTTGTACTACAAAACGTTTTTCCTATTCAAAGCTTTTTATATCAGTCCTGTTCAAATTTGATAGACCTTTTAAATTGTATTTCATCTCTTTCCTTGAATGGGACACAGGGTGACCGGGCTCCTCCAGCTTGTATGGTAACTCCTTGGGAGACAGACTTCTGTCAGTGACATGCTTGTAGGGTGCTTACAGCTCATTCTTTGTTGTTTTTTTT